GACACATTTGGGGTTAGAGGTCAGGTTAGAGGTTTGAAAAGGCAATTGACGGAGCATTCCTTTAAAAGAACATACATGTATGATGTAAAAACAAAGAAGTCATGATCAGAAGGCTGTATAAAGATTTTATCCTGTGGCATTCTTAAAAACTGTAGAATAACAGTTTATGAAGATAAGATTAGAGCTCATACTGCTTTCTGGAGTATTCCTTGCTTATTTAAATTCACACAGGAACTAAAGATATCAGTAAATTTGGAAGTCCATTTTGAGCTGACAGCTCGACAGAAGAAAACATTAAATATTAGCAATTTAATCTTGACAGTTTTGATCTACTTATGTGAACCTGCAAGGTGTTGAAACAAAAGTAGTTAATTTTCTGTGAAAATCAATGATCATATTTTTTTTTTTGCCTTTGTACACAGTGTCAACAAGCTTGAGATAAATTTTATTTCAATACTGAATATCAACGAAGTGGAGTTATTAAATGTATCTCATCCAGCGTATTGTCCATGGTACATTAAGATGAAGTGAAATCAACAGGTTGGATATGTTAGCCGAGGGTGGAGTGCTATCACCCCTGCTCTTTTCCTCCCATCTTAACCTCTGATAGCTATTTAAAACTTGTTTTAAAACTCCCTTGGCGGCCCAATAGACTGGGTGGTTCAGTTTAACAGAAAGATATGTCAGCATATATCAAAGAATCATAGATCAACAACAGCTAAATCTTAAACGACTGAGTTTTAGTCTGCAGACACAGAAAATCTGTTCAACTAAAAGTTCTTGCAACTTATTTTGAACATTGCATTTAAGCATTTGAATACACCTGCTTCAAAAAGTGTGCTTGACTTTAATTGGGTTTATTACTTTTTGTTGTGCAACATACCACATAAGGATTTTTAGTAACAAACTAGTCATTGTAAATAGCTATGACTTTGATTGCAACGGTGACAGCAGTTTTAGGTGTGTGTATGTCAGTATGATAGTCAGCTAGATTCTACAAACTGAGATTTAAGATTACAGCTAAGATACTTAGCAACCCTAACGCTATCCCTGTATTTAAGTTCCATTCCACGTTAATAGACAACTTAGATTAATTATCTTGTGAAAAAAACAGTTGCTTATTTCTTTTTCATGCTCAGAAAATATTTTGGGTGCAATAATCCATAAAAAAATTAAGTGCATCTTTTGAGTCTTGTCCAGATTACTGAATCAAAAACTAACATTATCTATAAATAAGGGTATGCCAAAACTAACAATGGCTTCTGGGTATCATGACATTTGGATTTGGATTTGTCTCTCCTATGCAGACGGGGTGTGTTGCATCTCCATGAAAGTAAAGGTATTCAGGACCTGGGCTTGCCTCGGTGGGACTTAACGCTGTGCTTGGTTGTGGTTGTATTTATCCTCTACTTCAGCTTGTGGAAAGGTGTCAAGTCTTCAGGGAAGGTATGGGCCACCTGTACTTATTTTTTGACATATTATTCATAGGCTAACTGTTGACAGAAGCATATGGTATGGTAGTGACCAATACTGTCATTACTCCACTGAGTTATAAATCTGATATTCACAGCATTATCAGAGAGTTTATGTCTTGCAGTAGACTCTGTGCTTGATCATCTGGACAAACAGCTGTCAGGTGCTGACCAACCGTTATCTCCAACTGGAACTTTGCTTATAAAAAAGAGTTTTCTTTGAACAAGACAGCCCACTGTCAATGTTTTATTTATTTTTTAACAAACATTGAATTTAAGTGAGCATAAAAGTGATATTACAATTATTGCTGTTGTGTGTTAAGGTTCTAAGATACCTACATTTTTTTTTTATTTGAGAAAAAAGAACAGTCTTTCTGTATTTATTTGACAAACGTTGGATTATTTTGGGGAGTACGATGGTGATTTGGATAACCTATGTGCTATTTGTTCTGTGCATATTTTCAGGTCGTGTACATCACAGCGACTATGCCGTATATTGTCCTGTTTGTGTTGCTCATCAGAGGCATAACTCTACCAGGGTCCATGGAGGGGATCAAAGCTTACCTCAACATTGATTTCAACCGACTAAACAACCTAGAGGTCAGAGAGAGAGGTTACAAACTTATGAGCCCTGCCACACTTGTAGAAAGTGGCAAACAAAAAGATAAAATCAAAGTTTCATTTTTGAGCAGACTTTTTTAATGTTAGCTTTAACATTTCTTGTCTTATTATTGAATGCATGATTTTATTTTAATTGAACTCTGCTATCTTATGTAATATTGTTTCTGTAACACTACTCATTACTAGGCAGACAATTGGTTTCCCCAAACTTAAAAGCTAGACTCAATTGGCTCTGCAGTTATTAAATGCAGGTAAGGAGGAAAGGGAACATTCCACCAACTGGGTAAACGAATATTTAAAAGGGTTAAGAAAATTAGGTTTTTGCCGTACGAACACTGTGAATGTTATCTTTAAACATAGTTAGTATGAAAGCCAGAATAAGCAGTTTTTCTTTGTGAAACAAGAGGATATAATCCAATTTTATCCTGGATGCAAGTGAGGAAGGAAAACAAGAAATTAACTATCTAAAATACATATCATTGAAAAATAAATAACATTCATTCTAACTACTTGTGTATTCATAATGAACAATAACTGCCTTATTTAACCTATAGGTGTGGATCGATGCTGCTACACAAATATTCTACTCACTGGGAGCAGGCTTTGGTGTCCTCATTGCGTTTTCCAGCTATAACAAGTTTAACAACAACTGCTACAGGTAAGGAGGCTCACAGTGAGTTTCTGATAATCCCAAACAAGCCCACAGCAACATCCTGCTGTTTCTAAGCAGCATTGCTTTCCATATTGCAACTAGACAACAAGACATAGATGATGCTAATCTGTCCAGCTTACTTGAGTGTCCTAGTGTTTGAGGACAGATAAAGTACAGACCAGGAAGGGATGCCAGATAATAGTTTGTTGCATGTTTTGTTGATTTTTCTCAGAGAGCTGCTGTTCTTCAGATCACAGCAGACAAAAGGTTTTGAGCTTATCTTTTCCTACATTAACAGTCCATAAGTGTGCTGTTCAGGATAGCAAGTAAGTCTTGCTAGAGGTTGAGAGCATGTAAACAAAAACAAATGAACACGATTTAACTAATTGAAAAGGAAAAGACCGGATTAACGATAAAAAGCAAGTACAGAAAACAAGTTAACTACTACTAAACTACATAAATTGTTTCTGACTTCTACTACGACTACTAAAATTTATAATAGTAATGTTTTTTTTTGTATTGCTTTGTGTTATTTTATGCTTACACATTTGGCAAACCCTTAAATTCAAATCAGCTTGTAAATGGGGATATAACAATGCAGTCAACATCAAAGCTAACAATAAACTCACAGCAGACAAAAGGGTTTGAGCTTGTCTTTTCCTACATTAACAGTCCATAAGTGTGCTGTTCACTCGTCAGATTATGTTAAGGGTGACAGGGTAGAAACAGAGTGCAGGCACAGACAGAAGTGTGGAAAAAACTCTTTGTTAGACGGAGAATATCCAAATGTGTATGTCTGCGTTACATTGTATCAGTCCCTCCAAACAAAACTGAAACTGTTTTGTTTTTATGAGCTGAGCTAAGGTCTCTTAATAAGCACTGTTTGAAGTTTAGAAGACGGCATAAGGCTGGAAGGCTTGAAGGAAGCTGTGTTTCAATTAATCAACTGTATTGACACTACAGATTTTTGTTGAAATGCCTTAGGAAGTTATTTTGGTTGTCTAGCTGAGTATAAACAAGTTTTGGGTTCAAACAAGGCAGTTCAAGACATCTGAGAAATTGGTACTGAGTGAGACAGACAAACCAGACCCTTGTAGAGAAAGATCAGGCTAACAATTAAGCATTTCAAAATGTTAAAACTAAGTCCCTGTAAAAACACAGGACTGCTTTGGCTCATCAACGTCATGTTCAAATTCCTCACATTCTGACATTGTTATGTTGTTAACTTCAATGATAAATCTTTTTTTTAAAAGTTTTTAAATGTAGTTTTTCATGTTTCCCCCCCCCCATTTATCTAAAATAAAGTAACTGACATATTTTGAAGGCCAGTCAGAGTCATGCGCCTTTTCTTCTTATCTACTAAAGATTTGGCTGATTCTTTTCATGTACGTGTCTAATGACCTGAATAAGCAGACAGGACAGCGGTGTTCAGTGAAAACATCTTTAAATTGTTCACAGCCCATAAAAATAGGAACAAAAGGAAAGTGAAAGGGAAGTCAAATGGAAGGAAATTGCTCATTCAGAGGCTTCTGCTCCTTAAACCCAGGAGGTGGCTGAGGTCACTGCGACCTTATTCATTCTGTCAGTGGTCACAGAACTGCTCTCTAATTATCCATTAAGCCACCAAATCAGGAGATTTGAAATTTCCTGTTAATCTTCAGTATTTGCCAGAAGATAAAACCATTAAAATTAAACTAAATTTACTTAATTTAAAAGCTGTATTGTATTTAAATTCAACTCAATAATTATACTCAAAGTTAAAGTACACATATAAATTAACATACACAAAAGTCTCCTAATGATCCCTTTACCAGACTGTAGAACTTCAGATATGTGAAAATGTTTAACTATTTATGTTGATAAAATATATTTCTAACTTCTCATCATTGCGTGTTTTTAACCCAGGGATGCTCTCTTGACCAGCACAGTGAATTGCGTCACTAGTTTCTTCTCAGGGTTTGCAATATTCTCTGTTCTTGGATACATGGCCCAAAAGCATAATGTGAGAGTGCAAGATGTAGCAACAGAAGGTAAGAAAAAAATATATGCAATGCTATGATTTACATAACTTCTACATAACAGTTTGAATGTAAATAAAAGTGTTTCATATTATTGGTTGCTTACAGGGGCAGGTTTGGTGTTTATCATCTATCCAGAGGCAATTGCAACACTACCTGGCTCAACATTTTGGGCTATTGTGTTTTTCATCATGCTGCTGACTTTGGGCATTGATAGCTCGGTGAGTAGCCTTACCCACTGTACGCTGGAGGTTAAAACTGTCAAAAAGATGCAGGATGTGAATTATACAGTGACTATTGGAAGGGTTCAGAACTTTAATCCAGGATGTGAAGGCAGATCTATATAAACTGCTGTGTGCTTCATTAAACTGAATGTTTATTTCCAATAATTTGATGTATTTTGCTGTAAAGTTTGCCATTCACCAAGGAGGTAAAGAGGCATAAACTATCCAATAATCGTTGTAGTTGGAGATCACCTACAAACTGCTACACATAAATAACGGCTGCCAGCATGGGGAAAAAAAGAGCAAAACCTTTTACCACATTCAACTAAAATGCTGCCTCATGAACAATAGAAACAACAGAATGAACAATAGATTTCTGTAATGCTTTTGTAATGTCTTTACTTACTGCAACTTGACAGCACTTGCAAGACGGCGTTCAGTTTGAAGATAAATAATATGGAGTTTAATCTCACCAGATCTTATGCTACTTGTCTGACCAGCTTTATGTTTTCCTTTAGAGGGGAAATTTAAGATTTTATTACAACAATAACTTAAGCCATCCTCCCTTTCTTTGCTATGCTGTAAAACACACTGTAGGTCCCTGGAAACATACCTCTTTCAACATTTATGGGAAAACGCAAGCCTCAGATATTTATTCTAAGACACTGTTTCAGAGAAATATGGTGATGACAGATTTCTTGAGGGAAGCCTTATAGGGGGCAGAATTTCAGCTTTCAGTATGGTAATGGCTGGACCTTTGCAGCAAAGCAGCTTTGTTTTCGAAATGGGGAAAAATTCCATTGGCTACATGAGCTAAAACTACAAAGGCATATCAAATGAGACTTGCAGCTGTAATTGCCAAAAACATTGACTTTAAGGGTGAATACAATTAAGTTGTCTGTTTTTCCTTTTTTCTTTTCTTTTTGTATAACATCTACAAAAACATTTCATTCGTGCTGTTTGTTGAAGGAATTCATCCCAGCGCTGTTTTAGTTCCAGGCCAATAGTCAAGAAAAACCAGTGCTATTTAATGTTTTCCTAAGATTTTGGATTTCAGTTATTCAACTCAACATGGTGAATTCATTGCATATTTAGATTACGACACTTTCAGAGTTTTATATTCCTTCGGGGGGGTTTTCAGTTTTTACATTTACACTGTAGCGACAACCAAAACCGTCAGCTATGAGGAAGGTTTTATGCAAATAGTAAAATAAGAATTGTTATTGCTTCTCAGTATTGGTGCGAATAATGTCAATGCATTTAAAAAAGTCATTAAAACCACAGATCCTGCATATAGAAAATTAAAACTGAAAATAACTAAATCAGACTCTTTACCACAGATTGAGTTTACTTGTAAAAAAAAATATATTATACATATTAAATGAACACACATGTTCATCTAACATATTTTTTTTCCTCAAGGAACACTTAAACTTTGGATGATTAGCAAATTAAATTACATCAACAATACCTTGAATGTATTTATTTGATTTTATCGTGTATTTGGAAAGACTTATCTGAAGAAGAACATTTTAATCTGTCACGGCTCAGAGTGATATAATATTGAATCTGCCAAAGCTAATCTAATTTTCAACAGCAACAAACTTTATAGTAATTAGAGTCCAATGTCAAATAAACGTAATATTTTAGGAGAAGCACAAACACCCCTGTAAAGTAAATTTTCACTGTTCTTTTCACATAATCAAATCAAGAGTTTAATCCTAAGACATCTTAATAGATATTAATGTACCATTACTTATTTACTTACTATAATCAGTTCATTAAAGTGTCAGTAACTGAAGCCAAACTGTATTTTTGCACGTTAGAGGTTAGAGCTATGTGTCGGATGGATAGAAACTTGTTTGATTAAAGTGATGATATAATAATATTTGGGCTTACAAACCAAATAAAAAGTGAAAGTTTCAGTGTATGTAGGCATGTCTGGTTTGGAGACATTTCTGGATTTCATGTCTGTCTGTTTCCTTCAGATGGGCGGCATGGAGGCGGTCATCACAGGCCTGACAGATGACTTCAAGATTCTTAAGAGAAACAGAAAGCTCTTTACATTCGCCACAGCTTTTGGAACCTTCCTTGTTGCCCTATTTTGCGTTACTAATGTCAGTATCAACATTTATGATGCTTTTTAAAGTTTATTTATAAACTCCTCAAAATGTTGCAAAGATTTTCTAAAAATTCTTTCATTAATACAAGTCAAGCTTTGCTGACTCATTATGAAAGAGTCTATCTGAACTGCACTGAACTCAATTCTCATGATTTTGCATCTTCATAAGAAAACAGTGAGCAGTGAAAGCAAAAAGCAATGAACTATTGCATCACGATCTGATGACACTGGATTCAATTAAACTGCATCCAGGAAGTCAACAATTAAATTTCCCTTGCATTCCAATTCATTCATTAGCAGCCAGAAAAATAATACAGTTTTGTGGCATGTAAAACTCAAACACAGAAAGACTTGGGAAAGATTTCATGAAGGATTCATGTGGTTTGTTTCTTATATAAATTTAAATGTTAGAAAATGGAACAACTTTTTTGCTTTCAATTTTTTTTATAGATTAAAGTGTTGAGATGATATCAATAAAACATGAAAAAGCTCGACTGAACATAGAATATATGCACGTTTAGTTTCTGACATTGATTAAAAGGTACGCCAAGGTTTTTAGAGGGATTATGTAAAATTATCATTTTCAAAGACAAACAATTGATGCAAACCATTAAACATCACTATTAACAGAAAAAAGTGCTTGAAATATGTCACCCTGTGTGCAATAAATCTTTATATGAGTTTCACTTTTTTATGTTCAACAGAATAAATAAATTAACTGTGATGATGATCTAATTTGTTAAGATGCACTTTGACACTGAGACTCACATTTTCTTTTGTATCTTTCTCTGTAGGGTGGGATCTATGTTCTGACATTGTTAGATAAGTATGCAGCAGGGACTGCCATACTTTTTGGTGTGCTGATTGAGGCCATTGGAGTGGCATGGTTTTATGGTAAGTTAGCGTTCACTATAGCGTTCACAATTTAGATGTTTGATTTAGATGTTTGTGAATTTCTGTTTCCAGTTAGAAATGAAATAGATTCCCTTGGAACAAAAACACACATGTGGAGTCTTTAGCGTGACAACATATTACTTCACCTCTGATGAAACCATTTAACCTTTCATGCTCTGTGCAGGTGTGGACCGCTTTAGTGAAGATATTGAGCGAATGATGGGCTTCAAGCCAGGGCTTTACTGGAGGCTGTGCTGGAAATTTGTCAGCCCAGCTTTTCTTCTGGTAAGAAAAATACTGAAAGATCCAACCTTTTTCCCCCAGATTATAATCAACTACATAACTCACTGTGAGAAAATGCGGCCTACATCGGTGGTACTTACTGCCTCACTTTCAGCATTTTTAGGATAATTTGACTTATATCTCATCAGAATTGCCATCTAAAGTAGATTTAAATAATGTATTAAGATTGAGACACAAGTCAAAAGCTCTCACTAAGAATCAAATACAAACCGAAAAGCCTGAGATATGTTGGAAAAAGAGGGACGTGGTTTGAGCCTTAGCTTACAGTCAGTTTTAGCTTTTTTTCTTAAATCTGCATGGGTTGTTGAGGAAGCACATTTCTCTGTCCGTAACAATTCAGCTACAGGCGTAGACAGCCATGGGCTTCCTTTAATACAACTGATTTCTACACCCTCCTCTGAGTATGTCAACACAAATTCATTTATTTAAAAAAAATTGGTAAAGGAAAAGTAAAAAAAATATATGTGCTGACAAATACACCACATATCTGAATTAATAGGTGTTGTCATTTTATACTCTGATATCGTGAGAAAAAGGACAAACTTAAAATAGACTCATCATTCATCAAAACACTTACTTATACCATTTAGTACATGGCCTGTAGCAAATGGGCAGAGCACATTTAGGTTTAGCACTTTTCTATTCATAGCAACCACTCAGCACTTTTACATTAAATGTCTCATTTAATATACAGAAAAGTAGGGTAACTTGTGACTGACCTGCCTTGTAAAGTGTGAAGTGGCAGGGGGGAAACTTTTTGAGTTTACTTTTTCCTTTTTTCCTACAGAGCCACAGCGGCCCACATGTGCCATATGTGTATATACATAATGAAAAACACATCAAGAGCATGTTTGCAATTTTTCAGTCAGGATGTCTTACTCAGCCCTGTAACTTTCTCCAGACCCGGAATATGGCTATAAAGTCCTAGACAGCTGCTTTGTGTGAATTTCAGGGACCCCAAGAACCTCAAAGCCATCAATACTTAGCAACGTCTATTCTGCTTTCCAGAGTTTTAGGTATTTCTCAGTAGGGGGTTGAAGCCCAAAAATCCCACCCCAAATGGTAGGTTGGGGGACTGTGGCAATAACGTAAAAGTCAGTTCCTGCTCTTTTTCATTGTGACAAATAATTAATTTGGTTTGCACTAAGATTTAGCCCAACGGAAACAAAATCTGGACTTTGCCGCTTCTTTTACTGCAGATACTTAACACCATATTATCTCCTGCTCCCTTTTACGCCGTTGTTTCAAGCGTCTGCCTAAATAAACCTTCCTTATTTTAATTGTAAGTAGTTCTTTAAATGTCCTGTGAGATGATATACTTACCCATGTATCGTTAACAACTGGAACTTTCAATATCCAGCAAGTTATTTTCGCAATATGCCGTCTATAAAACGAGTGCCCCCCGGATTAATTACCTCTCTGCAGCTGCAGCTGTGAAGTTGCCGTATTAACCCGATACTTGCTGGAAAGGGCAACGCCTCCCCTTTCAGAAACCGTTGGAATTTTTCAGATAGCGCTACGTGTGGCGGAACTACGGTACTGCAAATTTGGATGTGTCGCCGGCGACACATCCCGCNC